AAAGCGTAAAAAACGCCACTCTATTGAGCCAGTTTAACGCCCCCGACGCGCGTCTTTACTGAAGTACGGACAAAAATACTTGTCTCTTTATCTCCGTTGCCCTCAAGAGCCCGTCCCGGTCTTTCATCCCTGTTAAATATTTTTTCATGGTGTCACTTGAGGGTGTTCGTGTCTACACTTCATAAAACAAAACTGTGCTGTGTGCAAAGCGCGCATGCTCAGTGCAAACAAAACTCCTACATGAACACTGGAATGCAGTCCCGTCTCGTCTGTCAATCCCGAGAGCGCTCTGCCCTAATGTAGTGGAAGTGCAATTGCACTTCTAAGGCCCGGTCAGACCAAAGGTCTAATCAGTCTAGTCCCGGTCTAGTCTTGTTAGTCTCGGTCTAGTCCGTTTAGTCCGCGTCAGTCCTGGTTTGGTCCTGGCCGGTCCTGTGCGTCCTCGCAGATCGGCTGGTGTTGCGCGTTTATTTATTCTGGCGTCATGTTTGCGTTCGCGTCGTTCTCAGGGTCTTTCTTCCAATAACGTCGCGCGTCACTGGAATGTCTGATTGGTTAACGCGGCGCGTCTGACGCGAAAGTTTCAGCCAACTTCTTGACGCTGAACTTCCACGCGCGTCTTGGAGCTGAACAAACAAAACGCTGGAGACGCGCACGCTACGCCAGATTCGCGGCGAACTGACGCCGAAAACGCGCCGAAAAAAATCGCAGACGCTCTAGTCGACCGTCCACAATAGACTTTACATAAAAGGACGCTTTGACGCTTGGACTGACCGGGACTAGAACCGTGCAATTAGACCAGGACATTAGGGGACTAGACCGTGATTAGAGGTAGACCAGGGACCAGACCGGTATTAGACCAGTTTGCACGAGACCGCTTTGCACACAGACAGAGTTTGATTATGAAGTGTAGACACGAAGTGTAGCGACCCTCAAGTGACACCATGAAAAAATATTTAACAGGATAGAAGACAGGCGGAGAGAGACGGAGTAAAGGACAAACGAAAATCTCCCGGAGCTAAGACAATAAAATGACACTCTCTCAGTCTTGGTCTTCACTGTTGACACGGGGGACGAGGAAGACCGGTTGTTTACTTGTCTAAAAATGTTGGCACGGACGCGAAGCCCAAAATTAAGGCGTTTAAATACGTTCACCCCGATCACTCTGATAAGCGCTTGTTTTTCAGCAAAGGCTCCAAATATTGCCGCATCAAGGCTTTTTTTTTGTAGCTTTGGCCCTTACAGACAGTAAAAAAAAATCTAAATAAAAAAATAAAAAGCATGCTCCCGAGGGTCAAACGCGCCCCCCTTGACGGGCCTCGCGCCCCACTAATTGAGAAGCACTGGATTAAATGAACATAATGTAGAGCGTCTAAGCTTTATAACGACGTATAACATGCCCATGGGAAATATCGGCCCATATCAGCAAACATATTGGCCGATAACCGATATATCTGTAGGAGCCCGTATCGGCAGATAATATCGGCCAGCCGATATATCGGTCGGGCTCTATTGTGCAGTCCCTGTCTCTTACAGTGAGGAAAAAAAGTATTTGAACACCCTGCTATTTTGCAAGTTCTCCCACTTAGAAATCATGGAGGGGTCTGAAATTTTCATCGTAGGTGCATGTCCACTGTGAGAGACATAATCTAAAAAGAAAAATCCAGAAATCACAATGTATGATTTTTTTAACTATTTATTTGTATGATACAGCTGCAAATAAGGATTTGAACACCTGAGAAAATCAATGTTAATATTTGGTACAGTAGCCTTTTGTTTGCAATTACAGAGGTCAAACATTTCCTGTAGTTTTTCACCAGGTTTGCACACACTGCTGGAGGGATTTTGGCCCACTCCTCAACACAGATCTTCTCTAGCTCAGTCAGGTTTCTGGGCTGTCGCTGAGAAACACGGAGTTTGAGCTCACTCCAAAGATTTTCTGTTGGGTTTAGGTCTGGAGACTGGCTCGGCCATGCCAGAACCTTGATGTGCTTCTTACAGAGTCACTCCTTGGTTCTCCTAGCTGTGTGCTTCGGGTCATTGTTTAGCTTCTTCCATTTTCTAATGATTGCTCCAACAGTGGACCTTTTTTCACCAAGCTGCTTGGCAATTTCACTGTAGCCCTTTCCAGCCTTGTGGAGGTGGACAGTTTTGTCTCTGGTGTCTTTGGACAGCTCTTTGGTCTTGGCCATGTTAGTAGTTGGAGTCTTACTGATTGTATGGGGTGGACGGGTGTCTTTATGCGGCTAACAACCTCAAAAAAGTGCATTTGATTTAGGATCATAAATGGAGTGGAGGTGGACTTTTGAAAGGCGGACTTACAGGTCTTTGAGTGTCAGAATTCTAGCTGATAGACACGTGTTCAAATACTTATTTGCAGCTGTATCATACAAATAAATAGTTAAAAAATCATACATTGTGATTTCTGGATTTTTCTTTTTAAATTATGTCTCTCACAGTGGACATGCACCTACGATGAAAATTTCAGACCCTTCCATGATTTCTAAGTGGGAGAACTTGCAAAATAGCAGGGTGTTCAAATACTTATTTTTCTCACTGCAAATAAATAAATAAACAATCCAAGATCTCAAAAATCTCATCTGATCGTAACACTTTGGAGAGTGGGATCCGTACAATTTGTGATGGACTTGTTTCCCTAGAATCTAAGGCTGATCATCTTGAGAAACAGTCAAGAAGGAACAATCTCATCTTTGATGGGATCTGTGAATCTACTCCTGAGAGATGGGAGGACACTGAAATTCATATTCAAGAGATAATATCAGATAAGTTGAAACTTGATGGAAGAGCTAATCATATTGACAGAGCTCATCGAGTGGGAAAAATGGACAACAGTGAGAACCGGAGTCGCCCAAGATCTATTATAGAGAAGTTTCAAATTATAAAGTTAGAGAGCTGGTTTGGAAGAGTCGAAAAGAACTGAGGAGTGTATATTCAGGAGGACTTCACAGAGAAGAAAGGAGCTTCTATTTAAACTAAGAGAAGCTTGAGAAAAAGGAACAGCCTATTTGGTGTATGATCGTTTGGTCTCACATACTCCAAGGGATAAACGAAACCCAAGTGTAATGTATGCTGTACCATCTTCATCTACACCTATGAGCAGCAGCACCAGCGAGTAAGATGAGTGATGATTATGTGTTTTATATTGGACTTTATCTAAATTAATTTAAATCTACCTAAAAAAGAGCTTAAACTTGCCCATCTAAACATATGCAGTTTAAGATATAAAATTCATGAACTGACTTTTTCATGTTCATGTTATAGCACTCCGAGACCCATTTGGATGAAACCTTTGAAAGCTTCACATAGAAGGTTATAACATTTATAGAATGAACAGAGATAAATATGGAGGTGGTGCAGCCTTGTATGTCCCGGATCATATTCCCGATAAACGTCGGAATGACCTGTGTATGAGTCGAGGCTCTATGACTATAAATGCACATTCATCATGTTAATTCATTGTTGGTGTGTTGCTGTTACGACCACCTAGTGCTAACAGTGAGTGTCTGAACAATTGTTACAGCAGGCCACTGAGACTAATAATGAAGTATTCTAGGTGATATGAATGTAGACTGGCTGTCCAATCACTGCTATATGAAAAAGAAGCTGCATGACATAACCAATATATGCAACTTGAAGCAACTTGTAAATGTTCCAACTGGAGTAAAAATGATGTGTGATGGAACAGTAACTTCTACATGTGTTGACCATCTTTATTGCTGGGTTTCAGATGACGTCACGTCGACGTCACCAAAAGCAGATGGGAGTCAGGAAGTAAAGACAGATTCACAGAACCCCCTTTACCTTCGCTGACTCAGCACCAAAATGCCTAATTTCTGGGCAGTCTATGGTTGCTGCCACCACTCTAATCGGGAGAAAGACAAATGTTTTTTTTATGCACTGAAAGTGGTGCGTCACAAGGGAGTTAGTTTGAAAAAACTTACAGAAAAAAATGGATCGACAATCTCCGGCTAAAAACAGGAGGCAAGGAAACGGGCAATGCTAGAGTTTGCAGTGACCACTTTGTAACAGGTAAGGATTGTGTCATTTATTGATTAATTAATAAAGAATTAATATATTAATTAATATTTTCTAAGTGTTTTTGGACAATCATTTAGAAAGACAAGCATCATAAGTGACAGGTAATCTGTTGCATTATAAGTCCTAACTTGTTACGCAAAAAGCTTTATGTGGTGCCGTTTAAACTTTTAGCGTACTCGCTGTCGCCCATTGTGCTGTGTTTTGAAGTGGAGCAAAACATCTGAATTTCACACATCATCAGGGTCACGTGAGTGAAACACGGCAATACAAATAGTGCTGAGAAATACACTAAGAAATGAACTAAAGTTGTTTCTGTGCCTGTGGGCTTCCGTGACCACAATATTATTGCTGTAGCATTGAAAAGGAAAATTCCCCAAAAAGGACAAAATATAGTAAATAAGAGAATGTATAAATCCTTTAGGGAGGCTAATTTCATGTCTGACATTTCCAATATTAAATGGGAATTAGTTCTTGAGGAAACATGGTGCCAAAATTGAATGGAAATAAAATAAAGCAATATTTTCAGCAAAAATTCAAGGAGTGTGGATGTGACAATAACAGATTGTGGAAAATTTTAAACAATATTCTTGGTAAGAATAAAACAGGCTCACCTCCTGCATTTGTGAATGGAACGCTTTTAACAAAACCTAAAATTATTGCCAATTATTTTAATGATTGCCCTCTAGAGAAAGCACACAAATTAATAACCTGTTTATCTTGAGCATCTCCCTTCTGTGGTATGTGACACTGGGTATAAATTGAGTGAAAGCTTCATGTTCTCAAGCCAAACAGGAGCAGGGTCTAGATCCACGCTTCAGTACAAGGTAAGAACCAGCAACATCTGATTGTGCTCTTTCTCTATTGTCATCACAAAATATTTGTGTTTTACAGAAAATCCTCACAACAGAAAGGGTCAACATAAGTGATACTGAAATACAAAGATGACGGTAAGCACAGAGGGACAGTTTTCAAATGTATTTAATGCAGTATTTTGTTGACAGTTTTCTTCTGTTTCAGTTTGTGCCTCTTCTTGTGTTTCTGGCTCCACTGTTAATCTGCAGCAACGCTCAAGCGAAACCCAAGGACTGTACTGACATCCTTAAAACGTATCGTTACAGTCGCAGTGGAGTCTTCGGCATTTACCCTTTTGATGATCGTTTCAGAGTTCTAGTAAAGTTTCACTCACAAATCTCTCTTCATTTAAATGTGTTATTGTGCATTTGCTCATAGTTGTGTATTTCTGCAGGTTTACTGTGACATGGAGACAGACAGAGGAGCTTGGACTGTGAGTCATTCAAGTGTTGTAGTCTTAAAGAGGAGATATTTTATGTCTAAAGGGTATTATCTGACATATAATTACATATATACCTGAAATGATATTACATATTATATGGATTATAATACAGGTATTAACACATAACATATTTAGATCTTTCAAGAAACTTTTTCTTGAAGGGCCACATATTGAAACACATAATTCAGAGCATCATGTAGCTGTAGAATTATTGAACATGGGGAAATCAAACAGAAGCCTTAGTTAATCTGCAGTTTGCATTGTTTGTTCTGATTATCACTGATTATCTAATTGTCTAAAAGAGTTTCTGTATCTGTTTGAACTTGTGTCCTCAGATGATCCAGAGGAGGATGGATGGTACAGTGAACTTCTGCAGACCCTGGGATCAGTATGTGAGTGGGTTTGGTAAAGCTTATGGAGAATACTGGCTGGGTAAGAAAACAAGATCATGCCCACAGTGAGATGCACTGGTCATGAATATCACAGCATAAATGTGTCTTTTCCAGGTCTGGAGTTCATCCATAAGATCACAAATAGAAGCAAACAGGAGCTGCTGGTGGAGATGGAGGATTTTGACGGGAATAAGGCATTTGCTAAGTACTCTTCTTTCTCTGTTGGACCTGAATGTCAGGGATACAAAATGAATGTGTCTGGGTTCATTAATGGAGGAGCAGGTCAGTTCATCCACAATGACACTATTATTTTTCTTTTTTGGGGAGGGATGAAATGAGAAACCTTTGTCTTTGTGCAGGAAATAGTCTCACTGTACACAATGGTATGAAGTTCACCACTCTGGACAAAGACCAGGATATTTATAAGTATGGCAACTGTGCTAAAAGAGGTTACGGAGGTTGGTGGTATGCTTCGTGCCACCATGCCAACCCTAATGGTATATACCTCTGGGGAAGTGCTGCCCCGTATTATGCTGGTATCAACTGGTCTACATGGAAAGGTTTATCCTACTCTCTGAAGTCTATCAGCTTCAAGATACGTCCTGCCAAGTAGAATCCACAGCTCCAGCAGATATCAACTGTTCCTTTTTCTCTTCTGTAACCATGACATTGTTAATCTGGTGATGAGTAATGGCTATCTGAGATTTGTTCCCCTTTTGAATCAAAGTATCTATAAGTATCCGAAACTTTACAATAAATAAAGAGACATTCCTAGAGTTGTATCTTGCTTCATTCATAAAGATTTCAGTAATCCTGTGCACTATTCCCATTCACTAATAAGAAATATCACTGCTAGTCCAATGAGATTCATTTGGTCTTCCGATATTCTATGTTATTAGGTTCTTTTTTTCAGACCTAGAGTGTTATTTCATACCTGACAGTTTCGACTGCTCACTAGCGTCTTCCTCAGAGTGGTCACGTGATGACGTGAAACTGTCAGGTATGAAATAACACTCTAGGTCTGAAAAAAAGAACCTAATAACATAAAATATCACTGCTAGTCTAGTAAATGAATGACAAAATGTAGGGCTAAGTTGGAAAAAAAATGTTAACAAAGCTTTCTCACTTCAAACATGTTTTTTTAGTGGAATATTTCTTCACACAAAAAAAGTCCACCGAAATCTGACCACTGGAACCATGTTTTTAAGGGGGAGAAGACCTTCGATTTTATGCCAAATTCAATGGCTGCCAATCACAGTCTCATACAACAAGAGGCTTTATGTTGAAACCAACTGCCTTTATAAACGTACAGTACTTGTTGTGCTGTTTTTTACTCATTTTAGATGCTCTTTTGTTTTCTATCACTTATGGACATATGTAAGGTCTGATGTTCATTCATGAATATCAAGGTCAGCATAAGCAACTGAAAAAACTGGTGTTATTTAATATATTTTTTATTACTTTTTTATCAAAATATCTCATTCTGCCACAGCAATACAATTTGTTATTCCTTTTGTTGGTTATGTGAAACATACTTTTAACCATCATGGAGACTGGGACCGATTTTTGAGGTGAACTGGTCAGGGGTATTTATATCAGATTTTCGCTTCTGAAATCAGTTTGCCAGCATCTCTTTTCAGCAAAAACCTCGAAATGTAAACTGGAGACAAGTTAATTTTCTGCATGAACTAGTTGAACGTTCAGTTCACAAATTTCAAAATAAACTAGTTTGAAGCAAAGAAGCCAGTGTGAAAAAGAAAACAAGATCCTTACAGTTTGCCTGGCTCTTTTCTACATTTGGAGATTCAGAGAGAAATCAATGTACGCAAAGAGCCTTGTGTTCCCAGAGTCCACCCCGAGGTCCAGGCTGAGTCAGGAGGGCTGCTGAGGTACTGAGGTGGAACTGTCGTGTGTCCAGCATTAGAAAATCAGTTACCACACATGTTGTTTTGGCTCAGTGTTGCTCGGGGGGCTGTTACTCTGGGATACAGGGGACATCAGAGGCGTTTCCTGCAGGTTGATGGACAGCACACAGGTCGTCATGAAGAAGCATGGAACACACACAACAGTCGCACCTCAGGACCTCAGCAGCCCTCCTGACCCAGCCTGGACCTCGGGGTGGACTCTGGGAACACGAGGCCTGATGTGAGCCTACATACAGTATTTGCTGTCTCTTAAAGCGCCCTGTGCAGCAATGAGCCAAAACCACTAGTTACTATTCAATGTGTGTGGAATACTTCGATTTTACCATTGAAACCACAGCAGCCAACTATTAGCAAAAAGTGTGGACAAAATAATACATTCAGATTAGGGAGTCTAGTCCTATAGCTTTGAATGACAGCACATGTTTTTCCACCTGCTGTTTGGGATTTAAACAAAGGAATACATGACAAATATATTGGACAAAATGGTGAGTGTTGATTCATTATTAACACAATTCTTTACAGATAAATGTAATATTTTTCTCTTTTGTTTTGAGCATCCAAAGCCAGGCAGATGTGATTGTGCAGAAAGAGAGGAGGAAGGGAAAAATGTGACAAAAACAATATACAGTACAGGTAAGTTTTGATATTGATAGTATTACATTATTGAAGCACAGTGCATTTATTTGTCTGTTTTTTCTTCCAGTGAGATGGAACTTTGCAGTGCAGAGTGTGGAGAGGAGGAGTGGAGGAGGACGAGGCTTCTATCCGTATTGTCATACAAAATACAGGTACACTGGAGACAACTATGAACTGTATTTGTCCCTCGTCCAAGTATATTGTATATCTGTCTTTTTTTCATAGGCACAAAAATGGGAGACATGTCAAAGCAAAGAAGTCAATGTGAAAAGAAACCAAGGGATTCAGTGGGACATACGTACTCGCATAGCTCATGTTCCCAGAGTCTGCCTGGGTCCAGGCTGGGTCAGGAGGACTGCTGAGGTCTTGAGGCGGGACCATCCAGTTCAAGAGACAAAGCACCATGGTCTGTGTGCTCCACGCTTCTACATACAGTATTTACTCTGTCATTGCCCTTTGCAGCAAGTAGTCAATTTTTAGTTTTTTTTTAGCTTTCAACACCAGTCAGATGTGATCCTGCAGAAAAAGAGGAGGAAGGGAAAAATGTCAGAGTGACAAAAACAATATACAGTACAGGTAAGTTTTTATATTGATAAGTATTGAATTATTGAAGAACTGTTTCATTTATTTGTCTGTTTTGTTTACAGTGAGATGGAATTTTACAGTGCAGACTGGAGAGGAGGAGTGGAGGATGAGGTTTATATTGTCATACAAAATACAGGTACACTGGAGACAACGATGAATTGTATTTGTCCCTCCTCCAACTACATTGTACATTTGTGTTTGTTTTTCATAGGGACAGAAATGGGGAACATGTCAAACTGTAGGCAACTTGTACAGAACCATGTGCAAAGATGCACTGAGACACTGGAGACATGCACTAAGACATTTGCAATTTGATGAAATCAATGAGAAAGGACATTCTGAGATTTGTATGTGCAGCCTCTATTAAAATGTGTCATCCCCTTGTGTAGATCTGTAACTTGATGATATACATGATATAATTCTATCTTTCCCCGAGATCATATCAAATCTGTATTAGAGCTGCCCACCGGCTACAGATAGATTATNAAGTTTTTATATTGATAGTATTAAATTATTGAAGCACAGTGCATTTATTTGTCTGTTTTTCTTCCAGTGAGATGGAACTTTGCAGTGAGAGTGTAGAGAGGAGGAGTGGAGGAGGAGGAGGTTTATATCCATATTGTCATACAAAATACAGGTACACTGGAGACAACTATGAACTGTATTTGTCCCTCCTCCAAGTATATTATATATCTGTCTTTTTTCATAGGCACAAAAATGGGAGACATGTCAAAGCAAAGAAGTCAATGTGAAAAGAAACCAAGGGATTCAGTGGGACATACATACTCGCATAGCTCATGTTCCCAGAGTCTGCCTGGGTCCAGGCTGGGTCAGGAGGACTGCTGAGGTCTTGAGGTGGGGCCATCCAGTTTAAGAGACAAAGCACCATGGTCTGTGTGCTCCTACATACAGTATTTACTCTATCAATGCCCTTTGCAGCAAGTAGTCAATTTATTTATTTATTTATTTTTTTTTTTAGCTTTCAACACCAGCCAGATGTGATCCTGCAGAAAGAGAGGAGGAAGGGAAAAATGTCAGAGTGACAAAAACAATATACAGTACAGGTAAGTTTTTATATTGATAAGTATTGAATTATTGAAGAACTGTTTCATTTATTTGTCTGTTTTGCTTACAGTGAGATGGAATTTTACAGTGCAGACTGGAGAGGAGGAGTGGAGGACGAGGCTTATATTGTCATACAAAATAAAGGTACACTGGAGACAACGATGAATTATATTTGTCCCTCCTCCAACTACATTGCACATTTGTGTTTGTTTTTCATAGGGACAGAAATGGGGAACATGTCAAACTGTAGGCAACTTGTACAGAACCGTGCGCAAAGATGCACTGAGACACTTGAGACATGCACGAAGACATTTGCAATTTGATGAAATCAATGAGAAATGACATTCTGAGATTTGTCCAAATTGTTTTGAGAATGTCATTTCTGTTTTAAGAAAATAAATAAACATTCCCTATAGTGCAAAGAAAATGTTCACATGATAAATATTGACCCCAAAATATACTGAATGCATAAACTGATATAGTAGTTATGATCAGGTTAAGCCTATAAAAAATATATATTAGAGCTGCCCACCAGCTACAGATAGATTATAGAGACATTATTTATTTGAAATGTTGTTATTATTTTATATTCTGCTTGTTCTGGATTCAATGTTTAAGTAAAACTATTATTAAACATTTATTTGAATAAGAAAAGGTTTAACATTACATATCTCGAAAGAAGAGAAAACATGCAGATGTTGAAATTTTTCAATAAATATTTAGTTTGACCCACGACTTATTCACAGTTTTTAATTTTGGTGTCTGTGAATTTGAGTTTGACACTCCTGTAATAGATGAAGAAAAATACAAGACAGATAACTGTCCTGCATCGTCTCAGTTTAGATTTGTTTTCCACTTGTGTGCTTGTTTCCTCTGTACAACACTGACATCTACTGGACATTCACATGCATTGTACAAACACTGATGTGCATGAAATCAAAATAATCATGAGGATTGATTGATTGAGTTTGTGTAGTTTTTACAATTTTCGATTCAAGTCCTGCACGTACTCCCACTTTTGTAATTGGGGATAGTTTGCTTTTTGACATTGGTATTTCAACTTAATTCTGGCTCTGGGCTTCCTTTTGCTTGTCTCCATGGAGATACATAAACGTAATGCCATACTGCGGAGCATTCTAGTCATTCTAGTCAAAGCAACGTCTCCATTACAAAAACACAGCTATAGCTTGTCCCGTTTAAGCCCAGCAGGGGGCGCAAGACTCCCTCCTAATGACAAACAGCAGAAATGGTGAAGGCTTCATTCAGGAGTCCATCAGAAGAGAGGGAATGACTTTCATCCCTTCACAGATTTATTGATCATGTATTTATTCATTTATTCATTCATTTAAACTGACTCTTGTGAGTTTAAACCATGTTAGAACACTGTTACCTCATTAAAAACACACCCAGAGTCGTGTTTTGTTTCATTCACACATGTTTGAGTAACTCTTTATCATTAGTCTGTTTACTCTCCAAAGCTCTGAATGCTCTGTTCCACCTTGTGATGTCATGAAGTCTTTTATTCAGTAGAGATGGGCAATTCCAGGGCTGAGATGATCCATGATGATGATTCTAGTGAAGATGTATGGAGTTTAAAAACACAGTGGAGCACTTCCTGTATCACCACATGACATCAGAAGGTGGAACAGAGTGTTTTCCATCTGAAAGAAGAACTGGGCCTAAATATGCAGGGTGTGTGTTAAACAAGTGTGAATAAAACAAAACACAAGGCAGTTTTGATGAGCAAACAACATTGTAAAATAGATCAGAAAACAGAGTAAAATGGGATTTTATTTTTTTTCCTTTATATATATTTATATATATGTGTGTGTGTGTCTGTGTATATATATATATATATATATATATATATATATATATATATATATATATATATATATATATATATACACACATATATATATATATATATATATATATATTTATACACATATTTTTTAAGAGCTCTGTGGTTCAGTGTTATTGTGTTATTTTTAAAAATTCTAGAGTGTGTAAATAAATGTGTGTTGAAATCGTGTCGTTCACGATCACTGTGGGATCTAAAGCGAGTCTCTGGTCTTTTCCTCACATCTTGTTTGAAATGTTAGAGTCATGACCACAGCACACCACAGCACAGCACAGCACACACTCCTCTTCCCCACATCCTGTCTGCATGCAGCTTTGCAAAATAAGAGCTCTTTTGCTCTTTCCTGTCACAATAAGAGTTTTTATATGACGAGAGTAACTATAGTAATAACTATAGCTTCTGTTTCAGACATGTCCTCCTCCACCACCAGAGACCAGAGCTCTGAGGAGATGTTCCTGTGCTCCATCTGTCTGGAGGTGTTTGAAGAGCCACTGTCCACTCCATGTGGACACAACTTGTGTAGACGACACTGCATCTCTCAGCCCTGGGACACTGATGAGCCCTGCTGCACATGTCCTCTGTGTTCCACAGCAGCAGACCAGAGCTCAAGGTCAACATGCTCTTGAAGAATGAGACGACCTCAGGGTCGAACCTGCAGAAGAACAAGAGCAGCAGCAGCAGCTCTATGGAAGACAGACAGATAACATTTTAAGTTTTTGGGTTTCAATGCTTATGATTTTAATACATCTCTCATATAGACCCACCTTGGCCATATTTTTATATATTATAAAAATTATTAATAAAATAAGTAAAAGTACTCAAGCCTTTGTCTTTGTGATTCATTTTGTTTATTACATTCATGCCAATAATCACTGTAATACAAAAAAGATAAACATGTCTTAATAACAATATAACAATGTACTACTACTACTACTACTGCAACTACTACTTCTACAACTACTACTACTACTACTACTACTGAATACATCAAAGTGTGTAAAGCAATACCTAAAGGCACTTTGCATGTGTTACAAGGATCTCAATTCAATTATCAGCTCCAGAATCTTAATAACAATCTATATTTGGGAGAGGTCAATATTAAAATAAAAACATGTTCGAATAAATACATTAGAAATATTATTCAACCTCCAAACAGACCCCCAGCCACTTCATACTGGAACTCACTGCAAAGGGAGATTGACTGGAGCAGGGCTTGGCTGGTTGGTGAGAGGCTCTGCATTTATAACAAAATTAAAGAAGTCAATTTCAAAATTCTCCATAATATTTACCCAACCAAAAAAACGTTAGAAAGATTCAGATTAAAGATTGATTTCAACTGTGAATTCTGTCACACTGAAATAGAAACAATCACTCACCTTTTTTACCACTGCACATACAGTAAGAACATCTGGACCCACATACAACAACTCATCCAATCCAAAACCAAACACTCGATCAGCCTCCAGGAAAGTGACGTCCTGTTTTACTTCACCAGCCCCTCCATCCCCAAAGATCTTCAACTCTTCATTCAGACTCTAATTATGCTGACAAAATATCACATACACAAAACCAAATGGTCTCAAAATAAACCAAACATACATCAATATAATAACGAAATCCAACAATACTTTCAGACAATAAAACAGGTCCAAAACAAAAAAGCAATTAAAACTTATAATATCTATAAAAAATATAGTATAGCTTTATTTAAGTTATGATATTCTGTTTTGTTTTGTTATTCTGTTATTTAGTTTTGGTTTCATTCCATCTGCTCCCCTGTATGTTAATTTGCAAACCACCCCCATGTCACAGTATGTTTATGTTTGTTTACGTGTGTTATGTGTGTTTATGTGTAAGAATGTATATGCATATTTTCCATATCTCACCCCTGCCATAACTGTGAACTGGACTTTGCATTGATGCAACAATCCAATCTGCACCTTATACTGTATATACATTGTTTGTTTTTGTTTTTTTTTGGGGGGGGGTTTGTCTTGATGTTATATGTCTGCAAAAAATAAATAAATAAAAATAAACTACTACTACTACTACTACTACTACTACTACTTGCAACAACAACAACAACTACTACTACTACTACTAGATTGGTGCTTCATTTTGCTTCATTCATGGCAACAGTCTGGGTGTAAACCTATGGCCAGGTGTAAAAGTGAGGCAGAATATGTAGGCAGAGTGTATGTTTAAAATGTTCCACATTTCCTCAAGGTCAAAGTCTACAGTCCCTAGAGACACTGCATTTCTCATTCGTGGGGAGCAGTCCTCTGTGGTCACAATGTTTCTGACCTCTTTGCGATCTTGATCCATTTCAAAGGTCACTCGTATGTCACAGTGTTCCTGCGGGTTAACTTTTGGTAGTGGTTGTTGTTGGTCCTCATGTCTGTCTTCTTCTTCTTCTTCTTCTTCTTCATTTGCTGCTCTCAAAACTGCATGGAAATACTGTGACCAGGCCCTGCTGGTCCTTCTTAACAGAAACCAATAGGCGGGGTACTCTTCGGGGTACAGTTGAACATTTTGCAGTAGTGTGTTCAGAAACTGAATGCCTCCAGAATTGACCGAGTGTATGCCTTTGTGGTAGCGTGACAGTTTGAACTCATGCAGTAGAGTGAAAGGGGGCTGTGTGTCACACACGTGAACCATCTCTAACATGGCATCGAGCATCCTCTGCAGTGTTGCTTCACTTTCTCCGGCTTCCACTGCCGCTGTAATGATGACATGCAAGGCCGCTGTGGTGGCTTGTGTTCCTCCTCCTTCTCCTCCTCCTCCTCCTCCTCCTTGTGCTCCTGCTGCTCTAGAAGCCCCCTGTGATCCTCCATGAGCCCCAGGCTGCCGTGGATCCATGTTTAAAATTGTACTTTTTTTTTCTTTTATAGGACTGACAAAAGGACACAGACAGACAGACAAACAGACAGACAGACAGACAAGGACAAGGACAAGGTGGTGGTGGTTGAGTTTTACCCTGGCTGGTGCCACTTAGTGCCTCCACTCAACCCCCCTACACCTCCTAGACGACGTCCTGGTCACGACTCCTGCGTCTTTCTCCCCTCGTTCCAACCTATTGTCACTCATCAAAGCCTTCTCCAATCTCGGAGTTCCCTAGACCAAGGAAAGACCCTCAGCCCTTGCTCTACATCGAGTTTCTCGGCATTACACTCGATTCGATCTCATTCCAAGTGTCTCCCTCCCAAAAGGTCCAGCGAATCTCCCTGCCCCTCTCCAACTCATGCTCGCAACCCCATGCAACAAGAGACAGCTCATTGCGCTTCTCGGTCACCTTAACTATGCTATCCACACCGTCCCTCCGGGCAAGCCCTTCTTTCACATTTCCTCACGCAAGTCGCATCAGTCGAATCCCTTCAGAGTATTATACCACCGATCGACGCACGTACATCCGACATGCGCCTATGGAAGCATTGCCTACGGAAGCATTGCCTAGACTCCA